TCTTCAATAGTCTCATCCCAGGGCTGGTCGGACTGTCGCAGAGATGCGTTTCTGAACCTTGTTGAAGATGCCGAAGATGCCCGAGAATTTCTGACTCTGTAAACTGTTGATTTAGATCCTACAGACCATGCAAAATTAACCCCTGACGCCAGGAAAGGGCCCAACAAGACGTTCGAGGCTGCATCTTGAGATCCAATGGGGTGGGTGGTGCCGGAATCGTGTTCTGGCAAACTCCTTCTGCAAGTGAAATGCGTTCTTGGCTCACTGTTCGCTCATTTTGCTTATTTCATTTGCAAGTCTATAGTGACTCTAGTGCAACAGTTGTTTAGGTTTCTATATTCACTCTGTCTCATCTAGTAGATTTTCAGATGAGTACGTGTTAAACATCAGGTACCGATGGACCCACAATAATTTCGTGATTCTTGGAACGCATCCAGTTTCGGTGGTATCCAATGACTGACCATACCCATGAGATGGTTATTATATGTTTATTTTTAGTATTCAAAATCACCCTGGTATAAATTCCCATGATGCATGGTAAATCCCACCATAAATCCACAGACCTTCAGCTGGGCTAGGTGGGGGCCTCGGCTGTGTTGCTGAACATTCCGCAGTTGCCCCTGCTGCGGCTGCTGCGAGCCAGCTCCCAGGTTCAGGGAGCGCTCAGTGAGTGATGAGAATGGTTGATTTTTGGAATATTTTGGTTCTTGGTAACCTACTATAGCAAAATCACCATGACTTGCATCCCAGATTTGGGGGCGCAGAGAAAATCGACAGCAACCCTTCAGTTTTTGATACTAAACAAAACATATCTAAACATCAGAGTTTCCTTTCAAACCAAGCCATTGATTTCTGGAATCCTGGAAAAAACACGCATGATATAGAGCCGCTGCTTGGGGTTCACTGCACAGCTGACAGGTGGATGAGGTGATGTCTCCTCCTGCTGATCTCTTCGCACCCAGCTCCTATGCCATCCTGAAGCTGTATGTGCACTACGAGGAGGGCTGGAGCTGGGGACCTCTCAGAAATTACGGATCACCAAGAAACAAAAGGGATGACTGGGATGATGCTTGGGCCAAAAAAAAAAGGAAACCATTCGTGTGACCTCCTTGAATAGATTTGAGGAGTTCCAATCTACGTTGGCTATCTACGGTTTGCTGCTCCCTTGAATCTTTGGCATCCATCTGGCACTCGACAGGAAAACTCCACAGCCAAATGTTGGTCCGGATACCTGCAATGGATGTGTATCTGTTCAACAACGGATATTGCGTGCATATCCACAACCACATATTCATTTTCAACCATCTCATAGACACTTCACCATGATAGAGAACCGAAGCAGAATGACTTGGCACCTCAAGTCAACGGGTCAATCATCATTTTTTTTCCCTATGACCATTGTGTCGGGGTATACCGGTATACCCCAATTTTCAGACACAATGCTTGTAAAGGAACAACAAACCATCTGCAAATGTAGCATATGCAAATGGGTGGTATAAAGATGTACTGATGTACTATATAAAGATGTATATAACGCATCATAACGCATCCAAATATGCGTGGTTTATGATTTCATATTACTTCTTTTCTAACATTTTCTAACATTCTTCTAACATTTTCTAACATTTTTCTAACATTTTTCTAACATTACCTAACCTTTTAGAGACTTTTTTTTTCAAGCCCGGCACCTCGGGGCCACCAGGATGCATGGTGGAGGAACTACCTGCAGCTCACGGGCGGCGAGTTTAGCAACATGATGGGCAGCTTCTCAGTTTTTTTGCAGCAGAGAAGTCACCTCATCTTGCCCAAAGCAGCATCTTTTCAGGGAAAAAGATGATTTTAGGCATAGAAACTGGATGAAACTTGGAACCCCCAGCATTCTCCATGCCCAAACTCAATTACTAGCTATAAACTGTTTTGTTTTTTCCGATTTGAGTTTCTCTTAGCCACTATGCAAAGGCATCATAAAGCTCAATGGTATGAAGTTCTTTTCTGCCACCTATCAGGCTTTCATACCTGTATCACATCCACATCAATCAAAATCAATTGCCCAAATCGTTGGTCCCAAAATTACTACCATACACTTTGGTGTCATTTCTGAACTAACTCCAAAAACAGCCATGTTTTTTCTGGCCTTTTCCCCCAACTGGTGCCATGGTGCGAGGCCTGGGAAGCGCCCTATCAGTTCCCACTGCCCCTGGAGGGCCGCTACTGGGATGGCGACTTCCGCTGCGATGGCGCCGACGCGGAGCGGCCCTGCCGAGGCGGGGGCGAAGATGGGTACCGATGTAGATATGAGATATCTACTGTAATATGTGTACATATATGTACACTGTATACTATGTGTATACAATACATCTATATAGTCATAGTTGTATGTGTTTTTTTCCCATATGATTGTATATAACATCAGACTAGATGAGATGAGATTAGATCGAATCCTTTTAGATTGGATCGAGAGAGATATCTTGTATACATACACACATGCGTTGGCGCAGTG